TCCGTTACTCCCCAACACTGGTTACAGCACGCCAACACTGTAAACAGGGACAAAAAGTATTGACATCAGTCGTCTGGAAGACAATGGTGACAAACAAAGAGACATAAACACACAGGTGATCAGACACTGTAGGGCAGAGGGTCTCAAACTTCACACACATTGACGTGAAGTTACTGTTTTTGTTTGGGAGGATTGTTTGTTGTTGAGTGCAATGTTAAAATAAGTTCTTTAAAAAGTAAAAAATGATTTAATATATGAAGGCGACATGAGCAGAGAGCACAAACATGTTGCAGGATCGGCTGTGTTAGTTCAGAGAGTCAAAGACGAATGTGAACACTTACGTCTGCGCTTTGATTTCGTCTAGTTATACAATATTTGAAATTTTAAAAAACAAAACACTATAATTCAGAAATATTTGATGGTGTTTCTTGTTTCTTTCTTTTGTAGTACTTGAAAGTGAATCTATCCTTCATCAATTCACTCTAAAAAAACTGTTTTCACGATTTTGGTCCCAATTTGGGGGTTTTTTCTTACTTTGTCTAATGGAAAATATTACAGTGGAGTATTTTAAGTTTGTGTAATTTCCAAAGGTAAACTTTTAAATTTGGTTGCATTGCTCTGTTCAAGGACTTCCAGCATTTTCAGCTGCGTGCATGGAAAGGCTAACGGCAGTGAAAGTAGTGCAAAGACCAACCAGAGAGCACCGCAGACATCACTGACCACAGATATCAAAGTGACTCATTGTGAATAGCAATTTTCTATAAAGAAAATTTTAAAAAAGATATGAAATGTACCTTGCAGCGTAATAGCATCTGTGAGAGGCATCTACTGTATGACATTGTGCCAATAGAGTGAGGGTTGATCTAACAGGAATGACAAAACCATCCAACACAATTATTGTTGATGTAGTTCGACGTGGATGATGCTGCCTACATCTGGCCACAGATACACTTTGCAGTCTGCCAACGGTGAACCATACTGAGCCCATTAGCAACAAATGGGCTCCACTGCCTGCGTTGCTCCTCTGAAAATGAAGGGCTTAATTCTATTCACATTTATTTAAAGGAAGGAAAAATAGCCTTTTAATAGAAGAAACCTCTGGCAGAACCGGCCAACTGCCGTGACTGGTTTATGGTGAGAGAGGGAAGACAGGATAAAGACAGAGCCAGAGGTCAATAAGAACTAAAGATTAAATACAGAGTGGTGTATAAATGCAGACTTTAAGTTTAGGCACGCCACCTGGGGCCTCCCTCTTCTTTCTGCTGAAGGATGGTTGTCATCGAGGTGTGTTGCCTCAGGTCTTCAGCACTCTTAATGTGTTTTGTTACAGAAGCTGCAGTTGGAGACTCTATTCCTTCCCCCTTTTCTCTCTGTATTGAATCATATCTGTTATTAA